TCTACCCGCCAAAGGGCGAAGGTGGATCTCGACACATGCCGATCCTGGAGAGGACGGTGCCCCTTTCCCTTTATCCCATCACGTACCTCATGTCGTCGGGAGAGCTCTTTGTCCAAGCCGGTCGACAGGCAATCCTGTGGAACTACAACTCCCAGTCTGAGACACGACTCGCCAACATCCCTGGCGCTCCCCGCGTTTACCCTGCCAGCGGTGGCTCGGCGCTCTTGCCGCTCAGGCCAAGCAACAACTACAAGGAGACGATCCTGTTCTGTGGAGGCATGGCGCTGGGCAAGGGCGATAACTGGGGCGACGAAGCTGGACCGAGAGTGATGGTCACCCAAAGACCGGCCAGCACCTCATGCGAGCAGATCAGCCCCTTCCTTGGTGGAGATTGGGAGAGCGTGGATGACCTTCCTGAAGCCAGGTCGATGGGCCAATTCATCCAGCTCCCTGACGGTCGGCTTTGGTTCGGCAACGGGGTCAAGACTGGGACCGCAGGCTATACAGACAACTCAAGGTCTGCTGGTGAGCCGGTGGGGAAATCGTTCGGCGACAACCCTTCGTATCAGCCGTACGTCTACGATCCGACGGCCTCTGCCGGGAACCGATGGAAAGCGGTGGGCCGCGCCAAGGTGGGAAGACTCTACCACTCCTCGGCAACCCTCCTTCCCGACTCGTCCATCCTGGTCGCCGGCTCCAACCCCAACCCAGACTACACGACCGGCGAGAAGTGGTCGACCGAATACCGCGTAGAGAGATGGTACCCGGAATACTACGACGAGCCAAGACCCTCGCGCAAAGGATTGCCCAGCTCGCTCTCGTACGGCGGAAAGGGTTTCACTCTGACCTTCGACAGCGCCTCCGCGGCCTCCAAGGCCAAGGTGGTCGTCATCCGAACCGGCTTCTCCACCCACGGCATGAACATGGGTCAGAGGATGATCGAACTCGCCTCGGTCGCCGTCGGAAAAAAGCTCGTTGTCTCCCAACTCCCTCCCAACCCCAACCTCTTCGCTCCCGGCTCCGCCCTCGCCTTCGTCGTCGTCGATGGCGTCCCCTCCCGAGGAAAATTCATCATGGTGGGCAACGGTGAGATCGGAAAGCAGCCGATCCTTGAGGAAACCGTCTTGCCGACAAAGAGGGATGACCAAGAAGATGAGACGGGCGAGCTCTTAGAGCGGGAGGTTGACGTCCAGGAGTCGTTCCAACAGCACAAGAGGGGTGGTAGCGCCTACTCGAGGATCAACAAGTCGGTCAGGGATCGTCTTTAAGAGTCCTTCATCTCTTCTGGATATTCTTAAATTTCTTCTGTCCTTTGGACCCCTCGTCCGTTTCTTCCATAATTTTCATTTTCACCGTCATCACTCGTCGTTTCTTCTCTCTCCGAATGGTTCGCTCGATCCCCCTCACTCGCTCTCTTTGCCTTCTTGTGGACCTTTCGTCCACGTTTCCTTCTGTCTCCTCGTCGTCGGGTTCTGCCGCCGCATGGGTCGTACTGACTACTTTTTTCCCTCAAACCTTTACAAGTGGAATGGTTCCGATTCCTCTTTTTTAATTTTTAATTTTCCATCCCGGACAATGGATCTCGTCGGCACTCGCATCCTCCATCCTGTACTCTATACTGAGAAATTCTAAATCATACTCCATTTCACTTCACTAAGTAGTCGTTTCCCACTGCGCCATGACCCGCGTAAGAAGCAGTTGAACACAAGGGCAACAGGCGGGAGTCGAATAGTTTTCGGTTCTTGCTGTGGGAAGGATTGGATGAGCTGTGGGAGTTCAACAAGTTGAACCGACCCATCGTTACCGTCCGAAGTCGACAGATGAGCTCTGGTCACGTGACTCGATCGTGATTTGGAAGAAAGGAGGGGTGGGAAAAAAATACAAAAAAAAGCTGGATTCGGGTCGAGTGATCACGACGACCATGTGAAGCCACGACGACCAAGCCTTCTCGACTCCCGTCTACACCATCCTCCACCTGCACCGAATACCTCAAACTTGTTTCAACCGAATCCCCATCTCCAGCGACCAACGAGGGCAGCTTCTTTCCATTGTTTCTACCTGAAGGGAAAGAGAAAGAGAGACAGAAAGAGAGGGGGAACCAACAGCACAGATGATCAACAGGCTTTCGGTCCTCCCTTTTAGGTCGGCCCTCCTGCCAAAGAGCGCCACCACCACTCCGTTTAAAGCGATCCCAACCCCTGCGATCGCTTCGAGCTCCCGTAATGTCATGATCAGGGAGTTCGGGACCACTTCCGCTGCCAAATCTGTTCAGCGCTTGGCTAGGAATCCATCTCCTCCCCCAAAAGGTGAGCCTGGTGTTGGAACCCTCGGTTTCGTCTTTTCGACTTTCTTCGCAAGGGGAACGCCTCCCGCAGCGAGTTTCGAGTTTCTCGGACTCAGAATTCGAGCGATGTTCGAAATGCCAAGGAAGTGTGGAATCTCACTCACAGAAGTCTTCTCGTCGTTTCCATGGCCTACTTTTGGATTCTATCATGTCTTTCACTTTGGATCCTGACAGGAGATTTCAAGAGCCCGACCGATTTCCTGACGGCCATCTCGAGGCCAAGGAGGGACCTTGCCTCCAACTCTAGCTGCGTTTCGGCCGTAGGGGAGGACTGGGACAACATGTTCAGGCTAAGCTCGGAAAAGCTCAAAGGAGCTGGGGTTGGGATCAAGGAAAGGAGGTGAGTCTGGTCCCCGACCCTGTCGAATCTCTTCACAAGGACTTCAACCATCAGGATCAGCATACATGAGCTTTGGAGCTTTATGGACGACAGACCACGCCGACGATGTGGTGACATTGCACGCAAATGCGCTATCTGGTTTCGCCTTTGGTCTTGCTCGCGATCGCTCAAAGACCCGTCCGCTTCTTAAAGTGCTTGACCAAGCTAAATCACATTCTTCACTTCCCCTTTCACTCCAACTTCCTTCCCTTTTCTTGCAGGTACCTTCTTTGGGCCCTGGAGAAGTACAGGCAGGGTTACTCGCCGGAGGAGTTCGCACACGACGTCAAACCGAAGAAGAAGGTCAGAGGGTAAGTAGAGATCCGCAATGCTGCCTTTTTCAGACACTTCAGAAAAGGTTGTCAAAGTTCCAGTACCTTTTTTTTGACTCCCGCTCCATCCTTTTCTTCAAACACTTGATGTTCCACCTAGATGGGGAGCGAGGGTGCAGACCGCCGAGAGGATCCGCGTGCGCGGCCGCCGAAGACCTGGTGAAAAGTAGAGCAGTATGGGATCAAAGTTTGAAAAAAGAAAGGAGTCAAAGACGTGGCCACCCCCAAACTCCGTTCTGGGTTCACTTTTTTCTTTTCAGGGGAAGTGTGGGAGGTAGATGGGATTCGAAACATTCTTTCGTCACCAACTGTGGTCACCAAACTGTGCTCCTTGAATGGAAATGAAGAAAAAACACTGTCCGCTGGGCACGACAGCGAATCCTTGGACGACCGGGCTCGCGTACGACCCTGCTGGTGAAGCCAACAGGTTTCCGCATGTGCTTGACTTTGTGTTGGCCCGCTATGGAGAGGAAAAGTGAGCGGCGGACGGTGGATCGAAGAGGGGCTGATTCAGTCAACCTTGAGCCAAGTTCGTACGGATCTGGGGAGCGGTTTAGCATCGCCACGAATCTACCTTGCGGTATCCTCAGCATCGCCTTGATACAGATCAAGCTTTCCGCTCATCACACACGAAGCACGATAGAGAAGGATAAGGTTGAGAGTCAAGCTTGATGGCAGGTTGATTCGCGATAGACTCCAGGCTTTTGAGAAAGGGAGGGAGTCTGAGGAAAAAGAGAACGATCTGGTTCCGGAGACGAGCACCGGCATGGGGGGGAGGGGGGGAAGGTGGACCCAAACTCGACTCGAACATTTCGATGCTCCTCTAACCATGTGCTTGTCGTCGCTTCCTCTGCATGATAACTTGACGGTGGCGGTGGGTCTGGCTGGCAGTGCTGATCTGAGATGGAGGTTTCACTCCTCTTCACTCTTTCACTCAAGCGGAGATGGTACTTTGACCTTTTCCCCACCTTTACCCCCTCTCCCCCCAAGCTTTCGCTGGATTTTGTCAGGCTATAAAGATGACGAACAAAGAGTGCTCAACCACATTTCTACAAATCAACCCTCCTCCCCCTTTATCCAGAACCCAAAGACCCTCAAGGCCGATAATTAATCAAGCAAACAAGCAAGAAAACGACAACACGATGAAGCTTCAAATCCCAACCTCGCTGGCTTTGTTGACCATCTGCGCCATCTCCACGACCTCTGCGTGAGTTTTTTTTTCCTTCCCCAAGGCAAGCTCTTGAAGAAACCCTTTCACCCTACCTATTCTGTAACAACGTGCCACCTTCGAGCAATATGAGATGCCCCCCCTTTCCCGCTTTCTGTAACTTCTAATCCACCTTCACCACACCTGGTGCCTGTCCCCCCCCCCAATTCTTCTCTTCTTCCCTTTTACCTGCCACTTGACCTTCACCTTTCCCCCTCCGAACTTTCCTCTCCCTCAGCTTGGGCGTGAACTTCAACGACCCCTTGGGGTTTGGGGAGGAGATCCTATCCCAAATCGCATCTCATCTAGGTCCCTCGGCAACTCTCCTACCCACCATTCCACCACATCTCACTTCTGGCAACCACGAATCCTCCACTAGCGATCAAGTCGGTCGAACGCCTTAGGTTCCCCATCCCCCCCCTCTCCACCGGATATCCATAAGACTAGCTCAGCTGTTCGTAAAAGGAAAGAATGGTGAACGGGACGGCATCCCTCCTTCCCTTTCTCCTCCTCTCAAGACCGCAGCCATTTGCGATTTTTTTTTTTTGGATGATAATTGTAAAGACCACTACTGAGAGAGGCAAAACGCTCCCGTGCTCAGGGAGATAATGCGTGTTGCGCGAAAAAAAATTGGGCTACCGTTGCGGGGAGGATGATTTTGAGGATGATTTTATGATGGTTGGTCTATCGGCAGAGGGCAACCTGTAGAAAAAACACCAAAGCAAAAAGAGAAGAGGCTGACTCCTCCCGGGCTCGAACCGGGGACCTTTCGCGTGATTTTGAGCAGGAGCTGCTCGAAAGGAGTGTTAAGCGAACGCTCTAACCAACTGAGCTAAAGTGCCTTGCTATAATACGAGCAAATATTTGCAGACATAAACTGTAATTTGCAAGCCATCAAGGGAAGAGGAGAAGACCCCCCCCCCCCTTGTCCCCTAGCTTGAAAGAAGTTGACCAGAGGAGAGAGCCACTTTCGGCGTGGATCGAGGGTGAGTTCACGATTCTACGAATTGACTCCACTGGAGGAAATTCCTGGCCTCTCGTATCACCTCCGTAGGGAAATACTTGTTACCGCAGGTCAGGGCGCAGATAAGGTTCCTTCCTGCTTGCTGTCAGGTGATCGGAGTCCGTCCACCTCCTCCCCTTACCCCCCGAGGTCCGGCACTCGTATTTACAATTACTTCGATGACGTGTGCCTCAGTTCCTCTTCTCCAGCTCGCTTATTTTGTCAGACGCCCGTCAAGGTGCATGGATGTGGGGTGAAGGAGTTGGGCGGCCCCTCCGGAACCATACCTTGCTGTTGGGAAGCTCTTCTGAAGGTTGGAATTATCTAAGGTTGGGTTGGTGAGGGAAGGAAAGGAGTCTCAGACCAACTTTTTTTTTTTTTTTTTTTGTCGGTAATACCCAAAGCTCAACACCGGTATTCCTTTCTTCCGAACCGCTCT